CCCCGGGGCTGGAGTGGGTAGCCCCAACCATCCAGTGTGCTGGGGCACAGAGGAGGCCCGTGAGTCCTGGAAGGAGCCTGGACCCATCCCAGAAGGCAGCTCTGAGCCTCGGAGGGATTTGAGCAGAGTGATATAACCATGCTGCGGGGTCTGGCCGCGGGAGGAGGGAGCTGGGCTGCGCGTAGAGGGACCGGGGGGGGGTCATCCGGGGACCGATGAAGGCGCTCTGGTTCAGGGCAGTGCAGGGGTCCTCACAGACATCTCCGTAGTATTTGAAGTAAAGGAAACTGCGGCCCTGGCGCAAAAAGGGAGGACTCCCAGGCCGAGTTCTGTCCCTGCCTCACTCCATCGCCGTCGGCTGGCTGAGACTCCCGGGGGCGGGCGCAGTGGGAGCGCTCCTCCCGGCTCGGGCTGCTGGTCCGTTCGGGCACCGCAGTGCCCCCGCAGTGCCACGAGGGGGCAGAAGCACACCGCCGTCTTCGCCCATTCTCCCCAGCCACACTCTAGAAATCTTACGCAGACTTTAATGAGGTGGAGGGCTTATTAAAACACAGCCTTCGGGTCCCATCCCACGAGTTTCTGTGAGTCTGGAGTGGGACACAAGATACTTGCATTTCTAACCAGTTCCCAGGTGATGCGGATGCTTCTGGTCTGGGGACCCCACTTTGAGACCTACTGAGGTTGAATGTTGGGTGGGCATGGGGGGAGCTCTGACCCACCCAGACGTGGCCACTGGGAAATCACTGTCAACTGGGCAGCCACTCCCATTTCACAACGACGTATTTACTTTTCTAAGCCCCATTAAATCCCTTTTCAAAAGGAAGCTATATGATTTCATTCATTCAATAAGGACCAAGCCTGGTTCTGTCCTGGGTACTGTTGTAGGTCCTGGGAATCCATCAGGGAACAAAGCAGAAAAAAGAAGTCCCAACCAGCGCTTGTGGTGTCAGGCAACAAATAATAAATGTTGCACACAAGTCAGGTAGTGTGTTAAAACATGATATATGCTACATGCATCGGGGGGGATGGAAGAGGGTGGCTGAGGTGGATTCTCTGGGAAGTGTTAACTTGTGAGTCCAACCTGAAAGAGAGCAAGGGGATTAGCCATGGGGGTATCTGGGGAAGGCGATGTCACGCAGCGGGAACAGCCAGTGCAAAGGTCCTGAGGTGGGAACGTGTCGAGCATGTTCAAGAAACAGCCAGGAGGACCATGAGGCCAGAGAAGCATGAGCAAGGGGGTGAGGGCAGAGAGGTGACTGGGGCACAGAGCGGAGCCCTGTGGGTTGTGTGGCCTGGGCTGGCTTGGTGTTCCCAGGATCCCTTTGGCACACACTGTAAGAAGCAGGGTGGAAGCCGGGAGAGCAAGAGGAGGCTGCAGGGGTCATCAGGGCAGAGATGGTGTGGCCCCGGCTGGGGGAGCAGTGGGAGGACGGGGTGATAAGAGGTTATACACACCAGCATACACACGTACTTGTCTGTGTTTCCGTAACTAAATGGCCAGGGCCATCTGATGATCTGCTCCTCTCTGTGCGAGCCACTCTAATTCCCGACCTGAACTCTTGTCTCTATGTCTGTCCATGTCCACCTGACCCATCTTTGATGTCCAGCGGCCTCCAGCCACACTGTCCTGGGTGACTAGTTCCTCCCCAAACTCAAAACATTGAGGAAACCCCCCATTTGCCCCCTCTAGGGGCTCCTCCACTCTCCCCGGCTTCTGCCGGCGTGGCCCCTCTGTTCTGCCGTCCTCCAGCGCAAAGCCCAGGGCTGTGTTGGGTGTCCTAGCTTCCCTGCTGCTCACATCAGGGTCAGGCCACGGTGATTCTCCCGTCCGTTTCCTCTTTCCGACCCCCCCCGCCCCCCCAGTCCAGGCTGGCGGGCCTTACCCCTGAATGCTACAGTGACTCATGGGCCCTCGAGCAGGACTCTCTGGGTTTAAATCCTGGTTCTGCCAACTGTGAACTCTGTGAACTTGGGCTATTTCCTTAATTTGCCATATCTCAGTTTCTCCATCTGTGAAATGGACATAATTATACTTCAAAGGGTTATTACGAGGGTCAAGGGAGTGATTGGAACAGAGTCTTGTATGTGGTTAGGACTCAATGAATGTTAACTCTTACTTTTATTATTTATGCAATAAGTCTTTATTGAGCACTTATTGTAGAGAGACCTGCATTGTATTGGGAGATAGTCTGACCCAGGATAAAGAGCGCAGACCCTAGCAATTCCACTCCTGGATGTTTATCCAACAGAAATGTTCACCAATGTCTAGCAGAAGATGTGGGCTTGAATGTTCACAATACCCTCTTCATAATAGCCCCAGACTGGAAACTACCCATCAAGTATAGAATGGATAAATGAAATGTAGTAAATATTCATACAATGGAATACCATACAGTGTTGAGAACATGCAACAACATGGATATTACAAATACAAACATAACGGGGGGAGGGGCAGTGCCTGGCTGGCTTAGTTAGTGGAGTGTGTGACTCTTGATCTTGGGGTTGTGAGTTCGAGCCCCACGTTGGGTGTAGAGATTACTTAAGAATAAAATCTTTTTTTTTTATTAAAGCTTTTTTTTAAAGATTTTTTTATTTATTTATTTTGAGAGAGTGAGAATGAAAGAGAGAGAGAGAGTACATGAGAGGGGAGAGGGTTAGAGGGAGAAGCAGGCTCCTTGCCGAGCAGGGAGCCCGATACGGGACTCGATCCCGGGACTCCAGGATCATGACCTGAGCCGAAGGCAGTTGCTTAACCAACTGAGCCACCCAGGCACCCAAGAATAAAATCTTTTTATTAAGAATAAAATATATATACATACATATAACAGGGAAAGGCTGGGCCCGGTACCTCTGGGCTATGAATTTCAGTGGAGTTTAGTCTGATTTTCACCTGTGACCTTTGCCCCCAACACCACCTCCTCTTTTTTTTTTTTTTTTTTAAGATTTTATTTATTTGACAGAGAGAGACACAGCGTGAGAGGGAACACAAGCAGGGGGAGTGGGAGAGGGAGAAGCAGGCTTCCTGCGGAGCAGGGAGCCCAATGCGGGGCTCGATCCCAGGACCCTGGGACCATGACCTGAGCCGAAGGCAGATGCTTAACAACTGAGCCACCCAGGTACCCCCCCCACCTCCTCTTCTTTACAAACAAGAAAATTCCCAGCCTTTGCCTCATATCACTCTCTGACTTGCAAAGAATCCCGGAGGCAGGATAATAATAATAATAGATTATATTTCAAGTGAACACAGAGGAATTACTGACCTAATACTCACAACACCCCTGTGTGATGGGAACTCACTCAACACAGTGATCCCATAGGGTGGGCACTGCTATTTATGCCCATTTTACAGATGAAAAGACTTAAGCACTAAAAGGTCAAGAGAATGATAGCTAAAATTGTTATTCAAACCACATAATACTCAACAACGCTCTGTGTAGAGTACTGCCATTATCCCCATTTTAGAGGAAAGGACACTGAGACACAAAGAAGTTAGGTACCCTGCCTAAGATCACACTAGGAAACAGCAGAGCAAAGACGGGGCAGGTGGCTGAGCCCACTCTGTGTAGCTCTCTTCACAGCTGCTCGGTAGTGAGGTTGAGGGCCTTGCAGCCAGCTGCCCTGGGGTCCAGCACCACAACCCCAGGACAACTCATTCATTGCTCCGTCTCAGTTTACCCATCTCTAAAATGGGAATATCAGTAGCACTTTCCTTTAGGGGTGTCCCAAGAGCAACATGCAGTTGTGGGTAAAGCCCCTGGCAGCAAAGGCCCCACATGCAGGCATCATTCAATGTAGGTCCGTTGCCCTCATCCTGGCTGTTACCGTTTCTAGAGATATTACGTGAACTTTTCCTGGCAGTGTGTTCAGCGTTTACCCTTGCGGAGCCTGACCCACTGAAACTCTCAGCCTGTGAGAGACCATCAACCCAGGCTTGAGTCAGGTCACCTTGGCGTGGGCTAAATTCCCTCCCCAGGTGCAGACCAGCTTTTGGACAGATCACTTTCGCAAGCAGCCTCCTCCTCTGTGAACTGAAGTTAATTCTATTTTGTGAGGATAAGGTGGCTCGATGCTGCCTGTGATTTGCAATCTGGGGATTGGGGAGGAGGTGGTACCTAAGCAAAGGCGGCTGTTCCAAGGGGCGGGTCATGCCCATCCTGGGAGCTGGGGTCATCCTTTCCCTGCTCTGCTTTAGACCTCAGTGCCCCACACTCCCAGGCTCCCCTGCCTCTCACCTTCCCAGTGGGGTTGACCAATGGGAGGCACTACCAGAACCTGGGGGTAGGAGAGAGCAGAAGCCAGGTCTGCCTCCCCAGCTCTATGGGCTGTTTGTTAGGTCTATAAGGCTGCACCTGCTCCTGCTGGAGGGACCTGCTGTGATTCCATCTTCCACTGGCTGGTCCCGGCTTCTGGGCTCTCCTTCAAACCCTCCATCCCAACAGCTGGTACCAAGTGAAAGAAGCCATTCATAGAAGAATACCTACTGCATGAGTCTATTGATGTGAGGTTCAAGAACTGGCTATCCATCCTCTTTGGTGGTAAAACTCAGAACAGGGGTTGCCTTCAGGGGCGGAGGAGACGGCCGGGAAGGGGCCAAAGGAATCTTCCTGAGATTCCGGAAATGTTTTGTACGTTGATGGATTACACAGGTGTTCACGTTTGCAGAGACTTGGTAAACTGTATGTTAAGACCTGTGTGTTTCACTGTGTGTAAACCGTGCCTCAATCAAATTAGTTTAATAAGAAGAAATCCCTGTTTAAATACTGAGAGTGTTCTCCAATTTCCTGGTTGAAGTCTGATGAAAACACAGTTTTTATTTTTAAACATAACATGTAGATCACAGAGGAGGATGGAAAATTTATATGTAGGTTTAAAAAACAAAACAATAAGACATGAGACTTCAGACAGAATTTCACGCTTGGGTTGATTTATTTCAGGCCACGTTCCCCAGTCCCCAGGGGCTATCCTTCGTTCTCCCCTACTTTTCTCTGGTCTTAAATGTTGCAAAGCAACAACCTATATATAAAGTGTCTAGCTCAGCGCCTGGCACATTGCAGGTGCCTGAGAAAGGTTCGTTCTTATTAATACAAGTTGGGCTTAAGGGATCACTCTCAGGCCTGTTTTCTGACTTTCTTCAAGACAGTGTGATTTCACCTTGTGATTTTCACAAAGCACACAGCCTCTGAATTCTGCCCTGGATGGGGCAGGCTTTCTCAGACAGCATAAGCCTGACCTACGAGCTCTTGCACAGGCATGTATTCGGGGACGTTTTTATGTCAGTCCAGGAAAGGAAGCAGGAGATTCAGAATATCTGCATGCCCCTCTTCACCACACCCCCAGAGAAATAGCCAGTCTAGCCCAGCACCTGCCTCGGCCTAATGATTAAGGGACAGCTGGTTGCCCTATCTGCTGGAAAGCTTGCCTATTACACATGTTTGCTAAAGGCTGTGTGGAGGGGCTGGGAATGGACCAGAAGACACTGGAAACCTTGGCCAGCCTAGGCTGTGAGGTAGAGGAAGGGGGACTGGGGCAGACATCCTGGCTCTATCTCAGGGTCCAGGTGGACCAGATGACTTGTGAACATTCTTGTCCTCTGGGGCCTGGATGTCGTTGCCCCAGCCAAGGGTGCGGGGAGGGGCCATCTGCCTTCTGCTCAGGGCCCAAGCACTGGCTTGCCTGCTGGGGAGGGCGGGCACGGAACCTCCAGATTCCCAGGGCTGCTCTAAAAGGCACTGTTCCACGGGCCGCGGCCCCTGGCAGGTGGACAGGGCCTGGGCAGGCACAGGCGGCGCTGGGTCTCCAGTCGGCAGAGGCGGTTCTGGTTGGACACCCGAGTGGCCACGCCCAGCCCACAGGTGGTTGAGCAGGGGCCCCAGGCCGTGCTCCACTCTGGGCAGGGGGCACCAGGGGGTGGGGGAGCGACAAGGCCAGAAAACTGGGGTCCTGGGGGGGAAGAAAGAGAGGTCAGCACCGTGAGGTCAGGGCTTGGCAGCCAAGTCAACCCAGCTGCTATAGCAGTGCCATCTTGGTCATGTCGCTTAACCTCTCTGGACCTCAGTTTCTTCCTATGTAAGCTTTCTAATGGGCGATCGTTAGGGCTGAATAAAATAATGGAGGGGGCATGCTTAGCACTGTGCTGTAAGCACCTCGTTTGTGTCAGTTACTAGGCAACTATGATGGTGCTGGCCATGACGGTCCCCCAGTACGTGGCGGCTTTCTCATCTCCGCACCCCATGGCATCTTCCAGAAAGGAGGTTGTGGCCTGTGTGTAGAGGTGCTGGCACCCGGTGGCAAAGCTGCTAGAGTTTCTGAGGCTGTACCTGGAACAAGATGGGGGGTTCAGCACCATCTAGCTTCTCCTCCTCCTGAAATCTTATTCTGCTCTCTTACTATTGTGGTGTCCTTTCTTCTGGTCCTTATTAACCAAATGGTTCCCAACTGGGGGCGACTTTGCCCTCCCCCAGGGACATTTGGTAATGTCCAGAGACATCTTGGTGGTCACGACGGGGAGTGAGTCTACTGGAATCCAGCAGGGATGCTGCTAAACACCCTACAGTGCACAGGGCAGCTCCCATACGAAGGCATCACCCAGCCCAAGTGTCACTGGTGCCGAGGTTGAGAAAGCCTGCGTGACATGCACCTGTGTGCAGGGTGGCTGCACACACACACGGACACACGTGATGGAGATCGGATATGCATCTACAATGTCCTATCCCGCTTTTTTATACGTAAGATGAACTCACTGGCATTCTCCTATGTATTTAAGTGGGTGTGTCCCATTCCATCGTGGGGATAATGACAGCCACCAAGGATAGAGTGCTGTGTGCGAGGCACTGCCGTAACTGCTTTCCTTGGATTTACTCATCCAGTCTTCACAACAACTCTGCAAGGTGGACGCCCTTACTCTCATCTTACAGTTGGAGGAACTGAGGCACAGAGAAGTTAAGCAACTTTCTCAGAGTCACACAGCTAGGAAATAGCAAAGCTGGGCTTAGAACCCTGGGCAGACTCCATGCTGAACCCACCATGCTTTACTCTCAGGTGGCACCGTCATCCATGGCCCAATGCCTTCTTTTCAGATGCCTTTCTTTAAAAAGACCATGTTCCTATAATTATAATAACCCAGTGATGTAACAATAACAAATTCTCTAAAACTAAAGAATTTATAGTAAGAGGTAACTATCTTTCCTCCACCTCTGCCCACCCCTAAACCCACATCTCAGAGGCAACCCCCTCACCTGGTTCCTCTTTGGATAAGCCCAAACAACTACATATTAATATATTATGTAATATTTAAATGATACAAAGGTATTACTAATACATATCAATATATTATAAATACAATAACAGTATATGTCATAATAGTATACCTCTGCTATGAAATGTGAGCATTTGATTCAAGTATCCTAGCCCTCCTTTCCCTTCCCCGCTCTGCTACCAATTTTTAGTTTCTATTTTTTATGACTTAAAATTATTTACTTGTTGTTTTGTCAGTTTTAAGGAGGTCTTGTGACGCCCCCCTCGGCTTTCCTAGTCTCCTCAGCCACCAGCCCCTCCCAGCTGCGGTCAGGGAAACCTGGGCTTTGACAGGTCCCGCCTCCGGAGAAGCCCCGCCTCCGCCCCGCCCCCGGGGGCTTTGACAGGTCCCGTCTCCTGAGAAGCCCCGCCCCTGCCCCGCCCCCCTGCACGCACCTTGGGCTGGGAGGGGCTGGACCCCCAGCTCCCCTCGCTGGTCGCACAGCCACTCAGGGCAGCACTTGCCAGGGACCTCAACCCTCCTGGGGTGCGGGCAGTCCCAGCTGGGCAGCCGGACGTCCTCAGTGCACAGGGGCACACAGGTGAAGCCGCCGTCCTGACAGTGGCAGAGAATCCTGCAGTGGGGTTGGAAGGTCTCCCCATCCCGGTACAAGCGGCCATTCACCTCGCAGCTCCCATCATCCTCTCCCCCTGCAGAGGAGAAACCGGACCCCCATCCTTGACCCCCAACTTTTCCCTGGGCAAGACCGTGCCAGCCACATCCTCCACCCGGTCTCCCTGCTGAGCTGGCCCCGATCCTGCTGGGGACCAGGGCCCCTAAGCGTCTGCGCAATGCCTGGGGGCTCCGGCCCGTCCCCACTGCCGACCTGCCTGGGCGCCTGCGGGGGGACAGCGTGGCATACGGCATCCTGGCACAGGGGCTGTGGGGACACGGGCCTGCTTGGAGCCCCCACTCTGCTCTTTATTAGCTATGCAGTTTGGCCAAGCGACTTCACTTCTTCTTGCCTCAGTTTCCTTATCTGCAAAATGGGTTTTATAATGGGCACAACTCACAGGGTTGTGGTAGAGACTAGATGAAATGATGTATGTAATGAATCCAACATAAAAGAGACCTTCAATAGATCCCAGCTGCTCTGCTGCTACTATTAATATAATTAACTACTTATATTAATAATATATAACTTATATACACATGGAGAGTTCATGCAACACACTTTCATTGTGCATCTGCTATGTTGTGGTCATCACTGTCGCGCCCAGGCTTAACTTGCTGGCTTTGTGACTTTGGATAAGTTGCTTAACTTCTCTGAGTTGCCTTAACAATAGCCTTGATGAGAACAGCTGAGTACCTTCAGGTACAGATGGTAAGTCCGTAACATTTAGCCCCACGCTAGGCATAGAGTAGGTGCTCAAGAAACACTCTTCAGACGAAGCCCTTAAGATATGGGTGTTATTGCCACTTCCTCCACTGGACAAGCACTCCTTGAGGGCTGGGGCTGAGAGTGTTCAGGCTGGCACCCTCCCCCACTCCGCTCCCCCCTCCCCCCGTGCTGGCCCAGAGCATGGATGGACACACAGACCCTCAGGAAATGCCCTTTGAAAGAATGCCTCGTGCAAGGCCCAGCACAGAAGAGACATTAATGAAAGAGGTTCTGATTTCTTATAGTTCCAGAGATACGTAGTGTGCCCCTCCAGGGTGCCGACTACTGGGCTCCTAGACAGGACTAAGACACAGTCCTTGTCTTGAGAGATGGAGGGCCAGGCAGGGGACAGATGTGAAAGTCACCATCTGCAAGACAGAATGAAAAGCCATGGAGAGGCCTGGATGAGCCTCCCGGAGAAGGGCAGAACAAGGAGGACCTCTTTCGGAGGTCCTGGAGACGCGGGGTGGCGGCGGCGGGGGGGCAGTTCGGTTGGGTCTGGGAAGGATTTGCCCGAAAGCAGGTTTTCCCGGGTCTTCAGAGAAAAACCTCCAACAGGCCCATACCCACGCAGAAATTTGGGACCTGCACAGATGTGGGCGCCAGCCCCTGTTCCCACTTGCTAACTGTGGGGCCTGGGGGGCAGGTCACTGCACTTCTCTGAGCCACCGGACCCGGCTCCCAGGGCCACTGGGGGATTAAAGGAACTAGTGTTAAAGCATTTCGCTGCAAGTCTGGAGCATAGCAGATGCTCAGTGAACGGGAGTGGGGGATGTTGTTCCTCGGGGGAGGACAGACCCAGAGCCAGCCCTCTCCCTGCTCCTTCCAGGCCACAGCCCTTTGACGCCAAATCCCTGACCTTTGGCCTGGATCATGTGGCCCCTGGTTTCCTGGAAACTAGGGGCAGCTGCGCCTTAATCCTGAGGGGTCTCCCAGCAGACTTCTGGGACCACAGGCCTGGGGCCTCCTGGTCCAGGAGGGCCTGGTAAACAGAGGGATTTTTTCGGAAAGTCCGCTGGAGGGGTGATAATTTTAGCAAGGTTTCCTGGCTCCTCTCCTGATCTTCCAGCTCAGGGCTGGCTGGGGGTGGGGCTGATGATCCCTGGGCGGCCATCCCCATCCCCCGCCCTGGGGTCTGTGTGCACCTTTGTGCCTGGTCCCAAACACCAGGAGGCGGCTCCAAACCTACTCACTCTTCAGTCCGCCACTCCCTCTCCCCCCGCCAACCATATACACATATAGTTGCCAAAATCCTACTTCCTCTTCCAGGTCCTTCCAATGCCCCCTTGTCCAGCAACCTCCCTCAAATAACTTCAGAGCCCAGTCTAGGCATCTGGTGATCTCTGCGTCCTCTCTCCCTCCTAGAGTCCCTTGTAGAAGGAACAACAGAGGATTTTTTTTTTTTCCACCTTTAGCCACTTGCACACTGTGTGAACTTAGGCGGGTGATTTCTCCCCTCTGAACCCCCGTTCCTGCATCTGCCAAATCAGTTTAATAATAGGACCTACCTCATTATTAAGGGTGAAAAGAAATCACGTGTGTAAAGGGCGTGCCCACAGGACATGCTCCCTGAATGATACCTGTTACTGCTAGGCTCTCCAGAGCTCTTACTATGATTCATTCATTCGGTCCTTATTTACTGGGGGCCTACTGTGTGCCAGGCAGTGTTCTAGGGACTCATGATAGATACAGCAATGACTAAAACAGGCAAAAATCCTGCCCTCGTTGGAACTTTCACTCTAATGGAAATAAACACTATAAACAAGTAAAGTCTATGATGTCCAATGGTGATTAGAGCTAGAAAAATAATGGAGGGCAGGGTTCAAGAGAGGGATGTTGAATGTTGAATATGGTGATCAGGGAAGGCCACCCCGAGAAGGTGATTTTTGAGAAAGATGAGAAGGAGATGGAGAGCTTGCCATGCAGATATCTGGGGGGAAAGAACACTGGTAGAGCAAACAGCCAGTGCAAAGGCCCTGAGGTGGGAGCCCCCTCGGGTATTTAAGGCACAAAATAGGCCAGCATGGCTGAAGCAGAGAGCAGGAAGGAGAGAGGGAGTTAGGCAGGGTCAGAGAGAAAACAGGAGCAGGACCCTGCGGGGACTTGTAGCCACGGAGAGGACTGGCTTTTACTCGGAGGCAGTGGGAAGCTGTTGGAGGCCTTGAGGAGGAGGAGGGATGTGATCTGATGTATGTATTGAAAGGGCCCCTGTCGCTGCTGTGTTGGGAACAGAGTAGGGGGCAAAGAACGGAAGTGGGAAGACCGTTATGGGGCTAATGCAAACATCTAGTGTGTGATGACGAGGCTCAGACCAGGCTGGTAGCAGTGGATGGACTGAGGAGGGACTAGAATTTCAGGTTCTAGAATATTTTGAAGACTTTGCTGGTGGGCAGTATTGGGGTGTGCAAAACAAGAGATGTCAAGAATGACTGTGGTTTTGAACTCAAGCCACAGGGAGGGTGGAGATGCCCTTGGCTGAGTTGGGGAGGCTGCACGCTTGGGGTATGGGGATTCAGGAGCTTATGGAGGACACACACACAGCTTGGAGTGCGCTGTCAGAGGTCCACCCAATTAGGAATTGAGAAGAAAGTTTGGGGCAGCATATTCCCTCCAGAGCTAAGACCTAGACTCTGCCTCTGTGAGGTCTCACCTGTGGGGTTCACCAGCCTCCAGATCTGGCTCATGAGCACCCACTGTGTTGCCTGACCAGGGCTGGGAGTTGTAGGAAGAAGCAAAGACCAGGTACATTTTTGACCTCCAGCTGTCTGAAGTCTGAATCAAGATGGAATAAGAAAAGCCCCTTAATAAACTTAGTGACAGTAACAGCCAATATGAACTCATCACATGCTGAGGGTCAGGCAGTAGAGTGATGGAAGTGAAGATTGTGGAGCCAGCTCCCTCAGTTCAAATCCCAGCTCAGCCACTTGTGAGCTGTGTGACCTTGGGCAAACTGCCTAACCTCTCTGTGCCTCCTTTTTTTTTCCCATTTATAAAATGCGGATGACATTAGTACCAACCTCATATGGTTGTTGTGAGATTAAATGAGGTGATATTTGTGAGTGCCTGGCACATAGTTAAGTGCTATGCAAGTGTTCGATAAATAAAGTTCAGCCAAATGCTTTGTATGTGTGCTGGCTCATTGAAACAACAGCCTGGGAAGATAAGAGTTACTTATCTCATTTTTTCCCTAGATACATTTTTATTAGCAATCATCTATGAGTTTATAAAATAAATCACTATTTTCTCATGATTATAATCCCCTGATTTAAAAAAAAAAGCATTTAACAAGGGTTTAGTATTGATAACTTTATGTCTATTAGTCTTGTTGGTTTTTTTTAACCTTGTTTTTTTCTATAAGTGGACTCATTATCAGTGATTCATGAGCCCTTATCTCTCTTGTTCTTTTTTTTTTAAGTGATACATGCAAATAGATGAAAGACGTAGATTGCTCTACAAGACTTACTTAAAAAAAAAAAAAGAACACTGTCACGTTTTTGTTTTTCCCTAAAGTAGTGGTTCTCTGTTGGAGATGATTTTGTTTCCCAGGGGACATTTGTCTAAGACAGATTGTCACGACTCGTAGGTGAGGGACATGCTAGTGGCATTCAGTGAGTAGAGGCCAGGGATGCTGCTGAAGGTCCTACCAAGTACAGGACAATCGCCCCTCCCCAGTAAAGAATGATACCAAAGAATTATCTGGCCAAAAAGCAAAGTTGAGATACTCTGATCTAAAGCATCAGAGGGCACCAAGGCTTGGAATGGTGGGAGATGTAACACGCTCAAGGTCACTAGTAAATGACAAACTCAGGATCCAAACTCTGGTCCAAGGGCTCCCAATCCAGGAGGAAGACAGAACAAAATGTTGCTTCAGAACCTGTGTGACCTGGTCCCAAGCTGTGTAACAGTAATCATGCCAGTTAATATTACCAAGCCTCAGTTTGCTCATCTGTGAGTCTGAAAGGACTTACCTCAGAGGATCCTTGTGAGGATTATGTGACTTATGCAAGGATCGTGTGGTAAGTTTCAGCATACTGCCTGAGACCTATTACTCTATGCCCTCCCTAAATAAACGGTTGTACTTTTATTTTCTCAGAAGTGTTGTGAAGGTCCTGAGAAAGGATGGTGATTCCTGGTTTGAGGAATCTGGGAGGACTTCTCGGGGGAGAAGTGTTTGAGCTTGGCTTTGACAGTTGGTTGTAATTTGGACAGGTAGGAATGGGGGGGTGCCGCTCAGGTGGGGGGCATCGTCGGAGCAAAGACAAGAGGGGAGGGGCAGAGGGAGGGCCTCGGAAACGTGCGTCCCCAGATTTGGCTGGAATGGATGGTGTACCTGTACTGAGGAGGTGGGGAGAGAAGAGCCTCTCTTTGACTCAGGACCCCTCAGGCTTGACCCTCGCAAACACACCCACCATCGGTCCCGCAAACCTGCTTACAGAGGCACACGGCCCCACGGCCACCAGGGCCCGCCCTGGGCTGGCAGACCAGGCCCTGGCTGGGGTCGCAGACGTGGAGATGGTCGCAGGGCTCCCCCAGCCGCCGTGCGCACACCTGACAGCAGCTGCAGCCGTCCAGCACCAGGGGCACCCCCAGTGGGCATCGGGGTGGTGGCCAGGGGCAGGCACACGGCGTCGGGCACAGCTGGGCACACACCTGCAGAGACAGAGCATGTCACTTGGCCATTCAAGGTGGGCAGTGAGGGGTCCATGCTTTGGCCCCCGGGTCACGCAGACCTGGCCTTGGACCCTTGTGGTCATGAGCAAGGACTTTGGCCTACAGTTGCAGTCCTGACTCTGCTCCTTATTAGCTGAGTGACCTTGGGCAAGTTACTTAAGCTCTCCAAGCCTCAGTTTCTTCATCTGTGAAAAGGGGGCATTAGTAATATTTAACTCGGATGATTGTTTTCAGGAGTACATAAAATGATGCATGTTAAACCCTGAGCACACAGCCCGGCATGCAGTAGATGCTCCGTGCATTTAGCCATGATGATCACCATAGGGAATTACAAGGAATGACTAAGGCCCTGCCCTCTAGAAGCTTACAGAAAGGCAAAAGCAACAAAACAAAGGATTACAATGGCAGGGTACTGTACATTTTCTAGGATGTAGACTGCGAATATTTATCTTGACAGCTGAATAAATCAAACAGTATCATAGATGCTTTTGATCTTGGAACAATCCAGAATATGTTTCTGGATACACATCAAATCAGCCAGGAAACTTGGTAAAATCCTAATTCCCAGGCCTCCCCTGGGACTTACCAAATAGAACTTCCAGAGGCAGTGCCCTGGAATCTGTATTTTTATCAGGGCTGTCCAGGGGCTTCTGATGTATAGCTAGGATTTTGACACCTCTGCTCCAGTTCTAACCCCCATGCCCCTGCCAGGGAGAGATGGGGGAAACTGAGCTCCAGAGAGAGAAAGCATCTTGCCAAAAGTCACAGCATGTTAGCTGCAGAGCTGGGAGCCCGCTTCCTCCTCAAGGATCCTGTAATAGGGAAAAGCCTGAGCCAGGGACCCACCCCCCAGGGACAGGGTCAAGGTATTGACCCAAGTGTCCTGGTTGCTCCTCCACACTCAGGACAAAGAAACAAACAAACCAGAAACCAGATGCCATGGTCTTCCCCTATGTCCATCTGAAGGTGGGGACCCAGAGGCAGGCATAATTCAAGATAGCCCGGTAGTTTCCGGTAGCCCCCTTGGTGAGGGACCAATCTTTAGTTCAGTAGGATCCTTGGAGGACCAGAGGGTTTTAGCTGGAGGATGGAAGACTTACAGTTTACAAAAATGGAATGAATCACCTCCTAACTTCTGTGTGGCCCCAAAGCAGGCAATGACCCCTTTGCCCTAGTGCCTACTTTGTCCCACCCCGAGGACCCCCCAGTCCTGCAAACCTGCGTTCAGTGGCCTGCAGCTTGCACCCTGGCCACCAGAGGCCGCCCCGCACTGGCCAACCAGCCCTGGTTGGGGGGAAGGGGGGGCTCCAGGCTGGGAGGTAGTGAGCCAGGGGGGCAGCTCTGTGCCCAGGGCCTCACAGGGGAGCGAGTCGCCATCTCTGTAGGAATTCCAAGCCAGAGACTGGGTGATACCAGAGAGATTCTAGAGATAATGGCCTAGCCTTGCCCCTCAAAGCCTGGTCCAGACAGCAGCATCAGCCTCACCTGGAAGTCTGAAGCAGCATCTAGGGCCCCTCTTTATAAATCCAATGCTGCATTGTAATATGTCTGGAAATGATTCTCATGGAATCGGCCTGAGGAGCAATCAGCCGGACTTTGGGGTTCCCTGGCAAATCAGAGGTTGGACTCCCTTGGTTAGTGAGAAGTGGGGATCCTGACCAGAACTGGCTCTTGGGTCCCTTCCACCCGAAAGTAGGGGTGTCAGGCCACAGGCCTTCTGCTTTGTACCAGGGTTCCCATCCTGGGTTTTCTATGGGGTGAGCTCGGCTGGGGCCGGATGTGTGCACCCTGACCCCCAGGAGGGGCCACTAATAATATCGGTGATTGTAGCTAGCATTGGCCATGGACAAGCAGTGAGCTGTAATGTGCTAATTCAACCCTGCAAGATTAGGTACCAGCTTTGTGCCCACTGGAAAGACCAGGAAACAGAAGCTCAAAACAGTGTGGGGTCAAGGCTGGACTCCCTGGATCTCCAGGCCCTTCCTAACCACCCCCGACACATGCAGTTTCCCCAGACCCTTGCGGCAGTCACCAGGGGGACGAGTCCTGGTTGTGGAATATTCTAGAGAAGAGTTGAAATCCAAGTTGTACCACTGATGAGCTGTGTGACCTTCAACATGCCATTTAACTGCTTCATGGGGAGGGAGCTGTTTCCTTCCCAGTAAGAGGGGTTGGAGACCACCTATCTTGAAACGGTGACAGGGATTAAATGAGGTCACGGCTAGCTCTTAGTCACAGTGACTTTGTCCGTTTCCAGGTCTCTGCCACCTGGCCCTGTTCACAGGCCTGAGCCCAGGAGCCCACAGGCTGCTGGAAGACTTCGAATTCTGTCTCTGAGGATGGTTGTGGCTTTCCATGTTGGTGATGACTAAGTCCTTGACTCTGCATAGGATGCTGCCCGGCCCCCAGGGACAGGGAAGAAGGGAGGGGTGGCCAGTGAGTCCGGGACGGCTTCCTTTTGGTCTTTCATTTAAGCCTGGGCCCAGAACCCCAAGTCCCCCATCCCAACTACCCAAGCCACCCACCCGGGCATCATGTTTTGCTCAGCGCCTTCGGGAGAAGAAACAGTGGGATTGGGGTGCCAGCAGGGTTCGCAGCCTTGCTCCCACTCCTGCTCAGACCCAGGAGAGAAAGGCTCCTGCCGTGCTCTTCAAAGAAGCATGAACGTACAGCGAGATCGTGGCTTGTGGTGGGGCCGATCTCCATGGCATGGGGGACTCAGCGTTTGCTGAGGGAATGACTGGGCTCGGCAGCTGTGGCCTTGGTCCAGGTAGGGGAAGAGGCACAGGCAGCAGGAGAAGCACAAATGGAAGTGAGCCTTCCCCACCCGCCACACACCCAAGCCTATCCTGGGCTCCACCGCCTCTATTACTCCAATGTTCCTTTGCTGTGTGATCTTAGGCAAGTTGCTTGCCCTCTCTGAGCCTTGCTTGCCCGAAAACAGGGGATAATAATTCCTTCTGAGGTTGTTGGATATGTTAGGCAAGGTAGGTATTTCACAAACCTTTTGAAAAATGTTCCATAAGAGGAGATCATTATTCCATGAGGTGTCTCCCCGTCCCCCTTCAGACGGGTCTGCAGGTCACTCACGACCAACAGCATTAATGCCCTTGTGGTGGGAACTTTCCCATCAGCTAGAAACCAACATCCATTCAAATCCTGGCTCACAGTTAGGCAAAGCAGATTTTATGTTGCGTCTTCCCGTTTATAATGAGGACACCCCCTTCAGCTCTGTAGAAGGGCTCTGGGGACCATGAATAGTCATGGCCCTCTTCTTTGGAACACCTGCCACGTTCCAGGTCCTGTGTGGAGCACTTCTGATGAATTACCATCAGTGGTCTTCACCAAGGCTTCACGATCATTATGGCCATTTAGCTGGAGAAGAAGCTGAGGCTCAGAGAGAAGGGACTCGCCTGAGGTAACACAGCAGAGCTGGCCAGAGGCGAATGTCTGGGCACCGGGGAGGGAAGCTGGACTGTGCCCAACACCAGGAACCTGCAGGAGTTCTTCCAGGGGATCCTTGCAGTGATTTCACACCTCCCCCACCACACTGAGGAAGTCAGCAAGACATTTTGGGGCCCGGGGCCCCCTTACCTTTGAGAGGAGGCAGAGGAGGGAGAAGGCCAGAAGGTGGGTCTGTGGCACGCCTCTCATGTCACTGTGTCCCCCACGGAGCCAGCTTTGAGCCTGGGAGGCAGGACCTGTAAGTCTTTATGTTCCGGCGGCTGTGAGGTCATTCTTGGGCGTGCGTGCACACACACACACACACACGCGTGCACACACACACACACACACACTCTGGTCTCTGCAGTCCTCTTCCTCTCCCCATCCTCATGCTCCCACTGATGAGCCCATTTACCTGAAGATGAGACCGTGGAGGCCACCAAGAGGGGGCCTGCCAGTGTGAGTGTGAGTGCGTGCGTGTGTGTGCGTGTGTGAAAGCCAGAGCCAGTGCCAGTGCCAAGAGCCTGTGACAGGCTGGCGGGGGCCTCTCTTGCTCCTCCCAGCCCCAGGGGGCCTTCCGAGCTGCGGCTGTGGCCGCTGTAGCCCTGCCCCAGACCCCCGCCCAAGCCCCGGGGTGCTGTGCACCCAGCAAGAGCTCCACAGGCACCCCCTTTGCAGCGCTGACCCAAGTCCTCCGAAGCCCCGTGGCCCGGACTCTGGGCAGTTTCGGCTGGGCCTGTGGTTTCTGGCAGGAAGATTGGCAGCCACCCAGAGGCGGGTGTGACCCAGAGCAAAACTTCCCCGGGCGGCCTGTTTGCTTTTGGCACCAAGGAGCCTCCCTCCGGCCTGCTTCCCTGGACTCTGGAAGGTGGCCCAGGGTGGATGAACCCGTGCAGGTTGGACCTACTGTGTGCCAGCATTTGCCGGGTGCAGCCAGATGATCTGGAAGAACCAAATCCATTTCGTTTAATTCGGTCATCTCTGAGGCCCCCTCTGTAAGAGCTGGAGACACAAAGCCCAGAGTGGGAGATGACAGTGGGAAAACAGGTGGAATTCCTGGGCATACTGAGGTGGGGTCCTTGTTTAGACGGAAGGTGAGGGACCGCTTTCTGGAGGAGGTGTCTTTACAGAGAGCCACAGACGGGGAGGGGAGGTGGGTAGTAAGAGAAGGCAGAATGTTGCAGGCAGAGAGAACAGCACGTACAGTACGAAGGCCGGAGTGAGCATGATAATGTGCCTATTCTGGGAGCCAAGGTGTGGCTGGCTGGAGCTGAGGGAGGTGAGGAGTGGTGGTGTACGTGCGGGAGCAGGACACCCAAATCCAAATCCCCCAGTTTCTGGGGGCATCTCCAATGCTCCAGCTGCTTTGGGTAAGGGGTGTGAGGACAAGGGCTTGGACTATAGAATTTGGTAAAGAAAATAACGGAGTGCAGAGCAGGGGCTGGGGAAGGCTTTGGCACCCATAATCTCCACCAGGACCCCAAACCTCAAAGTGAGGGCACTGGGTTCCAGAATGGGCGGTGGGTAAGGAAGAAGAGTGACCTGATATAGGGTCAGACTGAGTGACTTGCTGAGCGGGGAGCCTCCCTCCCAGCTGCAGTCCTGGGGAAGGAATCGATGATGGAGGATGAAGATGGAAATGCACGCTAGGTCTCGGTGGTCCTGGCTGGAGGAGGAGGGCAGGGCGGGGGTGGTGGTGTCCCCAGGCCTGGAGGGAAGCAGGTACAGTTGTTTGTCTATCCATGCTTATGCTTATGTTTTAGTCCGAGGCAGGCCGAGGGTGCTCTACACCCAGAGTGGATCGTTGCTGAGCAGCCCGCTCCTTTGCACAACAGGATTATTTTCAGTAATAACCATGAGATGAGACAAATAGTTTTCATGTATGAACTAAAGTTTGCACTTACCAAATAAAAACAGCCCCCCCCTTCACAGTCACACTGTTTGACTGTTTTCAATTTTAAGCACAAACCCAAACTCCAAGGACTCACATAGAACGAGAGTTGAAATACCTATATCTTCATCTTCACCATCACTCTGTGACCTTGTTGCTTTGAATCTACTGTCGGGGTGCAGAACTGCACCCCCAGGGCTGGAGACAGGGCTGAGCAAGATTCTGAACTGTCAGGAGCTTCTGCTCCCGGTGAACGTGTGCTCCTGAGTCTGTGTGCGCTGGGCAGCTGTCTTCCTAGAGATCTCCAAGTTCTCTTCCACGTAGGATAGTTTTACTAAAGGGCAAGAAATTAGGGGGTGCCTGGGTGGCTCAGTCGGTTAGGTGTCTGACTCTTGATTTCAGCTCACATCATGATCTCGGGGTTGTGAGATTGGGCCCCGCATGGAGTCTGCTTGAGATTCTCTCTCCTCTGCCCCTCCCCTGTGCGCGCTCTCTCTCTCTCTAAAAGAAAAAAAAAAAAAAAAAAGGATAAGAAACTAAAATGTGCTAAATTTGAAGCTTAATTAAAATTCAACAGTTACCGCATCAATTGTTTAGAACTTGGACCAAGACAAGATGTTTTCAGGACAAAGTACTTTACGATTGACGGAAGTTACATTTCTATACTGACATGGTTTATATATATATACTGACTTCTCATCAGTTTCATTTTATCTTTAAATTCTCTACAGACCACGGGCCCCTCTTATTGCCTGCGCTCAGGGAAGACCACTCCCGGGCCCCGTCCTTGCTAGGACCACTGGTTTTAAGAACAATGGAAGTGATTACATAAAGGGCACACAGAGGAAGCCAGCCCTATGCTAGGTATTTTTTATAAAAAGTGGTGGTTCTAATCTTCACAGTCTACGCCTCAATAAGAAAGGGGAGGTTCAGAGAGGTTAAGTACTTGCCTAAGGTTGCACAGCTAGAAAATAGAGCCAGGTTTTCAGTGCAGGTCCACTGGGCTCCACAACCTTATGTTGTGGTTTTGATTGTTATTTATTGTGACTACTGCTTATAGAGCTCTCGGTGGCACATATTTTTTAGATCGAGGGGAATGTGCTAGTGTGAAGTGTACATCTCGATAACTCTTCACATACGTGCACACCCATGTCACCACCACCCAGAGCAAGATACATTTCCAGAAGTTTCCTCATATCCCTTCCGGGTACTCACTCTTCTGACCTCTATCACCATTGATCAGTTGTTTCTGGAACCACTCCTCCGTCTGAGGCAAGAAGGAAGACAGGAGCATTTCGGTGTGGGGGGAACTGGCCAGAGGCACACACTGCCCAGGGAGGCATCGGAGGGGACAGCCTCCGCCGACAGCCAGGAGGTGAGGCTGCCGTGGGCTCCCGGGGGGTGGGGGGTGAAGAAGTCACGGGCCAGCGCAGGCCAGGGAGGCGACAAGAGATGAGTGGAAGTGTTGCCACCACCATCCTTCCCCCGACCCCTGCCCCCAGGGGCCTCTCTGAGTCACAGTGTGGCTGTGTGCTCGCAACTGGTCCTTTCTCATAACTGAGGAGGGCAACGTGTGGACAGAGGGAGGCCCTGGGGCCTGGCCAGCTCCGGGGATGGAAGTGTCAGTGGGGAGCCGTGCATACACAGTTCCGAGTGCTGAAAGCCTGCAGCGGGAAGTGCCACTTTGCTGACTGCTTACACGTGGGGCAGGCCCCCCCAAAACTGCCAAGTTCGGTGCGAGAGGGATGTGACAGTCCAGGGAACCCATGAGTCTCTTGGGGGCTGCTGTAGCTCCCCCAAATAGGACCCCAGAATGAGCCTGGCTGCTCTTTGCGTTACTGGAAGGAAACATGGGCTCATAAGTCCAAAGATCCTGGCTTCAAATCCCGGGACCGCCATGACTGACAGTGCTGGGATTAGGAGGTGCTTTTAGATGCCTAGAGGGAGCAGCATTGAAGGGGCTGTCCCTCTCTGGTGCCCCCCACCTCGTGCACTGCACCACCTGGAGAGTGAGTGCCTCCTGAGGAGGGAGGTGCCTGGGGCACAAATGAGTTCATGGCAGCAACATAGAGCCACTGAGATTTGGGGACTTGGGACACAAATGGGGATTTGTGACCTCAGCATGGCCTAATGTGCCTCGATTAACAAGTCGGTGAATATTGGTTGCCTGGTTAAATGTGTTAATCGGGGCACATTAGGCTATGCTGAGGTCACAAATCCCCAAATCTCAGTGGCTTGACCCAACGGAAGGTTTATCTTTGCTCCCAAAGAGTCCAATGGAGTCAGGCAGGTCTTCTCCATCTTAGAGCTGAGCCTCTGGCTCTTCCTCCCCACATGTGTGCTGGGGTGTCGGCATCCTCCAGGGGCTCGAGTGAAATGTGGAATCTCAGGCCCCTCCCAGAAGCAGAATCTGCATTTTAATGAGGCCCACCGGTGTTCTGCATGCGTGTTTCAGTTTGGGAATCACCCAAGGTCACCTTGGAGAAGAGGGGTGGAGAAGGCACACCGGGCCTTCACGGCCTCGGACCAGAGGCTATGCTCCTGCTTCATTGGCCTAGTCTGTGTCATATTAATTTTATCCTAGGAGTTTCCACATTCTTCTTTGGTTCTCTAGTGTGTTGATTTGTTCCCAGAAGTTTTTCTGTTCTGTACAGCTGGACCTTAGTTGGGCCCCCGGATACTAAGCTGTTCCCTGTCCTCGGCGGGGTCACCTCCATCAGAAAGGTCCACACAATGGGCCCAGCGGATGACCAGGACTTGCCCAGGTCTGGGCTCCTGACCCGGAACATGAAGCTGCATCTCTCCAAGACCTGCCGCCGCCACACTGTCCTTGCTCACGGCCATGTTGGGAGGAGCTCATGGAGTTCCTGCGGGCTGCCTGTGGCCACAGTCTGCAAATACCCAACCCCCCAGCGCCTGTCCCTGGCCCCTTCTCCCACACGTTCCCCAGTCTGGGCAGGAGTTTAGAGGTCTGCTCCTGACCCTGAGATCCCAGGTGCCATGCTGAGCTCCTTCTCCCACCCCTAGGACAGCTGTGGGGCTTGGACAGTTTAACACTTGGCTTCAGTCTGCGCTGGCCAGGTTCTGCATGCAGGGACCAACACGGTCCTCCCCCAAAGGGGGGCTGGAATGTGGAGCTCTCAGCACACGCATGTGATCACCTCTGTGCACGGCTTCACATAGTACTGTGACCCGGGGGGGCCTGGCAACGAACTGGCCCTCACTGGCTGAGTGAGGGGGTTGGCCCAGGGGCTGCGCCAAGGGTGCAGCCGGTGAAGCATTGATAAGCCTGCTGGGGAGCTGGGGAGCTGGGGAGCTGGGAGGAAGTCATGCTGGGACATGGGGAGGGCTTTGGAAATTGGCACGAGGGTTTATTTACAGACTTAGTATGCCAAGGAGAAGGCACTGAACCTGGCACACGTTAGGTGCTAGATATGTCTTTGGTG